TTATATAATGATGTAAAAAGGTGCCCATATATAAGGCCAGAATATCTATTATATTTTTAGAAAACTCTAAACATTGGTGAACTAATATAACCTATGGCTGATAATAAAGATAATATATTTTTTCCAAATTCTTAATTTTCAAAACTGAAAAAGAAGCTAAAGTTAAGATCATTATATAATGATGTAAAAAGGTGCCCATATATAAGGCCAGAATATCTATTATATTTTTAGAAAACTCTAAACATTGGTGAACTAATATAACCTATTTATAATAACAATTAAGTCACTATCTCTCTGCTTCATCAATATTTGTTATAACATTCCTACTAACAGGAAAATTGGTTTGTTTTTGTTTTTGTTTTGAGGATTCGTTTTGAGCAGCACAGACAAATTTTAACCTACAGAAATATGGGAAATACACCTGTGATAAAAGTCTCTGAAAAAGCAAGCACATGGGAAATAGAGTACCTAGCATTGAATTGGTATTATGCATAATCCATAATCAACACCATTTCTAAAAGTAGTAAATTAACTACCAAAAAGCTTTCAAATTATCTTATATAGTTTTCTTTTTATTCTGTTCTGAAGAACTTATTTTTCCTGTTATATCTTCTTCAAAATGTTTTCATATACAGTATTGTCATTTTATAAAATTATTGGTCAACTTTTTATTTCCAAGTGAGAATCTAAAAAGCTGTGGTTAGTTTGTAATCTGTCTTTATAATAACCCTTGGAAGACCAAAAAAAAAATTCAAAAGTAAAATTCAACTTGAGGGGAAAGTGTGAATAATGAAAGATTCTCATCTATTACAAAAACTTGTGTTACATGCCTACTAAGTGTTCCTACTGTTCTAGGACCTGCAGGGAGAACAAAGATGAATTAGACAATTTTGAGATTTTCAGTGAGCTCAGAATTTAATGAAGGAGACAGATGTGTATTGTATATACAATAAATTAATTAGAGACATGAAAAAGTGATTTAGGGGGCTGTGGAGGAGCCACACCCAGTCCAGCAGCAGAAGGTCATGGTAACCCTCCTGAAGGATGTAGGAAGCTGAAGTTTAGAGTACTGAGAGCTGGGGTTGGAGTGGCAGAAATTTCGCAGGGGTAAGAAACAGCAGGAGCAAAAACATAGATCTGAAGAAATGCATAGCATATAAGAACAACTACAAACGATTCTTAATAGTTGGAGAGCAAAATGTGAGACCACAGGGAGAAGAAAAAAAGAAGCTAGAGCATGAGATGCAAGCCAGATTTTGATAACTATTTGCTCAGTAGCCAACTTAATAGAAAATCACCATAGGATTTTAAAGAAATAGTGAGATTGATAGATTTGCATTCTAAATAGACACAAATGTTTGTATCCCTTTGCTCTGTGGAGGCTAGTCAACTGAGAGCCAGGTAGACTTCTTTGGCCACAAATAATATTTTTGTTCATGTAAGAGATGATGGACTAAACCAGGGAAATGGTAACTGGGAAAGTGGCAAAGGGACAGATTCAAGACATGCCTCAAAAGGCATGGGGAAAAATAGATTAAGTTGGCTGATTTAATGAAAGATTATAAAAGGATCAGAGTTAAAAAGTGATTTATATTTCCAGCTTTGAGAATAGTAGTGTCATTATTGAGAAAATCCAAGAGGAAGAACATGATTCTTCATGCATGTATTAGGGGAGGAGTGGTTGATAATTTGAGTTTTGTGTGATTGTCCTATATAGAGGTAGAAATGTTACTCAGCAGTTGGGAAGATGCATCCATTGTTAAGGGAGAAAAGAAGACATGAGTATAATGATCACGTTTGAAATACCATGCAGAAGGCTGCAGCCATGTAAGTGGAGAGATGGCAGAAAAAGATACCTAAAGTGAGAAAACAAGAGGCTGAAGATTGGAACCCCAAAACCTCCAATAGCATATGAACCAAGATAGGCTCTTCATACTAAAAGCATGGGAAAATGTGAGTAAAATCAATTAACTACAGTGTCATAGAAGCCAAATCAGAAAAGAACGTCAAGAAAGAGAGGGTGATTATCCGTGTGAAATGCAGGGAAGTCTAATAAGAATCCCTGAGATAATTTTACTTGTCACTGCCATAGTCACTAGAATTTAGGTTTCTGTGAGTTGAGAAGTAAATAGGAAAATAGAGGCAGGGGAAATAGAGGGGAGAGATTGAGGGAGCAGGATGTAAGGTGAAGAAAGGTTGTTGAGAGGATTGTGCAGGTTATTTGAGATCTAAACATATTTTTAAACAAAGGATGAAAGAAAAAAATGAAAGGAAAAGAAGAATGAGAATATCACTGATGTGGCACCATCCTTTATAAATATGAGCCATTGTATGTTTAAAGATGTATATTGCACTTCAACTCTTTGCACTTTACATAAGCAACTAATTAGCATATGTAATTTACATCCACTCAGCAAGATCATATAATAATAGAAACATTAAATTTTTAAAAAGTCAAAATTTCAAATAAGGGATTGAATCAAGATGTGGAATAATACAATTCTCAAAAAAATTAGTGCTCCAAAATATACTTACAGATAGATCAGTAAAAGAAACCATAATATGTCTAATTTATACACTATGAAACAATTTCTGGACTTCTCAATATTTAGGTGTATTTAACAATTGTTGGCACATATGACTTATAAGTACCTTGATGTACCTATATAACCAACACAGTTTAAATATTTTGACAAAATCTTTAAATTTTGAAATGGAAATGGAAGCAAATTTTTAAATTTTCCATTGAAAGATTGTAGACTTAATACTTCCACAAGCAGCCCTTCTGTCCTCTCCATTAATGGAAATTTTTCATTATACAAATTTAAAAGGATTGATAAAGAAGATTAAGGCATGTGTGAAACTTAATAATATGAAATTATGATTCCAATATTAACAAAAACATGTAATAATATTTTTATGAGATTCCCCATGAAATAAACATTCCAATCCAATCTAAAATGTAGGTTTGATTTGAAACAAAATCAAAATTAAGGCCGGGCGCGGTGGCTCACGCCTGTAATCCTAGCTCTCTGGGAGGCCGAGGCCGGCGGATTGTTTGAGCTCAGGAGTTCCAGACCATCCTGAGCAATAGAGAGACCCCGTCCCTACTAAAAATAGAAAAAATTAGCCGGGCATGGTAGCACATGCCTGTAGTCCCAACTACTCGGGAGGCTGGGGCAGAAGGATTGCTTGAGCCCAGGAGTTTGAGGTTGCTGTGAGCTAGGATGACGCCACGGCACTCTAGCCCGGGCAAGAGGGTTATTTGTTCTTTTAAACAAACAAAAAAAAAAAAAAAAAAAATTAAAATGACATTAAGTTAGAATGGACTCAAGTGATGTTTGTGAAGAAACGATATTCTCCACTCTCACTACCATTTAATTACATGCTATTTAGTTTATAAGTCTTTTAAAATTTCTGTCTTGCTAATTTCAAATATGAATATCATTCCTAAGTTTTTAATTCTTGCTCATTGTTTCAAAAAGCTGTGGAGAAGGATCTGGTGTCTAATACAGGATATAAATTAAAGAATATTAATTCACTGGATTGTGAGTTCATAGAAGTCAAGAGCTACACCTTGCTCATTTCTTAACTTGCCTGCCACTGTGTCTGATGTAGGACAGATATCCAATTTAACAAAAGTGAAGAATGAATGAAATGAGAAAAGGCTGCTAAAATAAAAGTTGTCTAAGTCAAAACAAGAAGAGGCAATGATGTTGTCGTCATTGTTTTTTCCTCCTGGGATATTAGTGAGAATCTTTTGATAGGGCCTAAATGGATAACCTATTTTAAAAATATCTAAAGAACTTATTACAGCCAATACATTTAATGTACCTTTAGAGTAGTAAAAGTGCTTTTGAGATATTATACAGATAATTTTAAATTCAGAAAATCATTAAACAGTATTCAAAGTGAGAACTTTACTTCTAAAAAAAAGTATGATTTGAAAGAGTATTTCCATTAACTTGGTTCTTGAGTTATCGGACATAATATTGACATGTTAGGAAAAGAAAAGCTGTTTTCCAAAGTGGAGCTGGCCTGGTGAACTCACACCTACTGATAGGTCAGTTATTAACATCTGTTTAAGAATAAAAATAGTCACTGATACCATTATCCCCACTGCCCCTGTGATATTTCTAGAGAAAGATCGTATCTCTATGTGCACAATTTGCAAAGAAGGGACCCACTGCACAGGACACCTCATCACTTCTGGAGAGAATCTCAAAGCACGATGGTTGTGTAGCCATAGACTATATATGGGGATTTAGAATTTAGTAATACCACGCTTGGGGAGCAGTTTTTACTCTGCGGCTGGAACCATAGCACTTTTATGAAGTGAGTGAACATGACGATATGGAGGCTATCAGAAAAAGGATGGCAGGAAGCTATATGAAAACAAAACCAAAAATCCTTGAGGAGTAAGTCAGTCACGAGAGAATACATTTACCTTGGAAGATGCTGGGGAGTACAATATTCAAATTCTGTCTCACCATAATTCTACAGCTGTAATTTGCTAAAATCATCTTTTTTTTCCTATTTAATTGGAGTTTCCAAATGATCTGATGAGATTTGTTCCCAATTAAACTATCATCCTCCCTTTCAACTGAAATCCAGATTTTGCTGCTACGGTAAATTGATCTCTCTTCATTGTTCCCTATTTCTACTTCTCCCCACTATATATGTTTTTTAAAATTATGTAATCATGACTTAAAAGCCCTGAGAGGAAGACACACCAGCCACACATCCAGACTATGGCTCTGTGATCTCACTTTCATTTCCCTAATGGCTTCACTGTAATTAGATTTGCAAAAACAGCAAAAGGTCTCATTTTGAATGGCAACAGCTGTTGACATCAACATTATATTGAATAATTTACTGGTTTAATTTTAGCTGCAAAACAATAAAATCCTCTTGTGGATGATTTTAGCAGGCAAAGTTTTCTCTTTCTGTTGCTGACTCTCTCTTCTGCTCCAACAGTACCAGTTGTTTTTTCATAAAATACTGTTAACTTAAGTGTGCCAAAAACTCACAAGGGGAGCAGTTTATTACTTCTAGTTTCCTTGAAGCAAAGTATCTATGTGACTATTTCAGTATCCTCAACCTATATGTTTCTGTGTAAACCAGTGAGGTGGCAGTTAGTTCTTCCAAGCTGAATCTGAGTTTGAATGGCAGAATGTTACTTTACCTTTTGAGGATCTGCCACTTCACAGAGTGACTTAAGCAGATTTCTTGACCTGCAGGAAATGGTAGCAGCATCTGCAAATTGATGTTTTCTTGGCAGGAAATGATGTTGCTTGCTTAACTTCTTCAATATCCCCTAACAGCTAGCCCTTAATCTGACAGAAAATCTCTTTATGGAATTTCATACTTTCCTGCCAAATATAACATACCCAAGATGATTCTCAACAAGTATGTGTGTGTTTGTATGTATATGTGCAATTCCTGTGGGCACTCACAATGGAGAAGAGGTTTTACGGACAGGAAGAAGGTAGAGTATGTGAAACTGCTTTCTGTACTAAAATCATATACTTTCTGGAGGAAAGAAAAAGAAAAATCCTTACTCAATTAGATTTTTTTTGTATCTTAAGAAATAGTTGTTGGATTTTGTTAGATGAATAACATTTCTTTTACAGTTCAGTGCTTTTCTTCTTTCTGTAATGTGTCTTTGTTATTTGACTGTTATCAATGTCATACATAATCTAATTATTATTCATTGTACAATATGTTCTTTTGAAAAACAGAAAAATATTTACCAATTTTTGAATTGTCCTATATCAGTCAAAGAAATTTTAGGCTATCAAATAACCTGTAACAAAGTTATTTTCACAAAATATACTAGTTATTTTATTAACTTAAGTGTCACTAGCTTCCCCTATTTTTTTCTACCGGCACTACCTTTGTTCATATTATCTTGAAGGAGTAATCTAAGGTAGTATTTACCACAGAGAAGTATCCTCACTTTAAGCTCATTGCGACAACAAAGAAACAGAAGCAAAAAACCTCTATTAATGATTTAATAAACATATATCAAAAGTATGATTACTCTCTTATCTTTTCTAGTATCTTGAATTTCCATTATAGTTTAGAAGAATTTCTATACCATATTCAAAGTATACCTGTCACTAGCTTCAGAAAGGTATCAGTAGATTGGTTATATGTAAATGTTAAGCAGAAATATTTCAGAGGGTACAAATTTGATCTCTTAAATCATTCTTTTAGACAGGATTTCTCTTAAAATCAACATATTAAATATAAAGAAAGAGTTTTATGAGAATGTTCTTATATTTACGAGACAGTGTCAAGGATAAAGATACACGTGTACCTTCTGACTGGCAACACGTACAGGCTGAGTCCTTGGCCAGCAAGGATGCTTACCCTTGGGTGCAGTTTGGATGGCATGGGTGGCACTCCCGGTCCTGATCAGCGTACTTGAAAATGAAACTGTTTGCCCCCTGTAAGCCGTCTGGACATTTTTCCACACAGTTTGGGCCATCCTTAAAATGAGAACACTTTGTACAGTTGTCAGGTCCCTGAAATGTAAAAAAGAAAAGAAAAAATGGAGAAGAAAGTGGGTGCCATTTCCTCTGGAATGTATTCGTGTGCTTTAGTTACTGAGACTTCGGTATGTAGCAAATCTTCCTCTGGGAACTGGAGAACATTTTCAGCAGTACTAATGTGGATATAGCTATTGTAGTAGAAATAGTGCCAAGGAGAGTTTTCAAGTTCAGCTTGATACCCTATATCTGTGAAAACATTATGATAACATATGGGTTCTTGAAATATTTTGCTTTTTGAAATCAGCAGTTCCTGGGTCAACTGATTTCTATGTCATGCCCCTAATGTACTTCGATGTGATCAGAAAAATTGTCCAATGACTTTTCCAAAAGGATATCAGTATTTTCTTCTTGTGATTTATTTCTAGTGATATTACGGTGCAATAATATTTGTTAATAACAGATATTCCCTGGGGGTATTTCACCATCGTCACTGGGAATATGTGAATACTCTTACTAAATAGTTAATGAGAAAAAGTATACAATAGAAATTAAATAAGATTAAATTTCACATAAAAGTGGGATGTAAATTTTCTTTTGGTTGTACAATGACTTTATATGTAAAATAAATTTTAAAATATACTATGATTAAATTACCAGGAATTAGGCAGTTTAGACAAATAATAAAAAAAATGCAAGTTATTATTTATCTCAGATCAGCTTGTGATAATGCTACAAATCATGTAATGTCTATTTAGAGGGATTTTAGTAAATCACAGAACAATACTGAGAACCATATAAATGCACTTTCTGATGAGCAAATATCAAAAACTCCATAATATTAATAATAAAGCAGATACATAGAAATAAAAACTTCATGGAGAAACTAATCCAAGGATGAAGATAATATAAATACGAGCATGAAAAATTTAAATAGAACTAATTCACTTTATATATTTATGTTTATAATATACATTAATTTTCTAATATAATGTCGAGAAGCAATAATAATATGAAAATATATTTGAAAATAACAAAATTAACTCCTTAAAATAATATTAAACATCTAAAAATTTTGCAAAATAAAAACTGGTTTGGGATCTGGTGCAGGGAATAGTAGGCATGGAAGGAATGATCAGTATATCTTCAGATCAAAGAAAATTTAGAACAGTTTAATAAAATGTTATTTTTCTTAAAAGATGCCCATGTTTTCACATATTCAGCTGTTCTGAATATTACCTATTTTAAATTTACTTTTAATTCTCCTATTTGAACACGGAACTTCTTTCCCTGACTCATTTCACCCTAACATCTATGTCCATAGGATTCAACAATCATTATGGTTCATATTAAAGACATAAATAAGATATAGTATGTACACGGGGAGACAATTCTATCAATTTAATAGTTATAAACAATGAGACCTCAGGAGCCAAGAGTTAGCCCAAAGTTATTATTAGGTAGGAAATGTGGCGATCAGGGAAGTGCCTGAAATCCCTACATAAATCTTCATCCAAAAGCAGCCAGACATTACAGACTGGTTATATTAGGCATCAGAATATCAAGAAATATAATATTTTAAAAATTAAAAAAATGAAAGCTGCTAATGAAGAATTATGGTGTCAAGAAGAAAAAGCAATCAGGAGGAGATTTCTAGAAATCCTGAGACTGGTGAGTTTCAATCAGGCACCTGTCTATTTCACTATCTTCATGTGAGGCTCAGAGCTAAAAAAAAAAAAAAAAAAAGGTAAGTCTATAAAACCTAATCCCTATTCTACCTGAGGAGTTTGCTAATGGTAATTTCTTATTTCCTCTCAAAAAAGAATACTTTACATGCTTCCAATTTTAACACCTGCTTATGGGTACTTAGGCACGTAATACTGTCTATTATGCAGAATCATTTACTGTGCAAGTACGCTCAGTGGCATGACTTATTGTACAAGACAAGAGACATGGTGATGTGTTCTGGCAGCACACAGACTAAAACTTACTATGAGTAAATTAGGCAGTTATACTCTGAATTAAAAATTAGAAATTATTTTTCTCTTAAGTTCTTATAATAGAAAATAATGTCCAGGTGAAATCAAAAGATATGAAAAGTCACAAAACTAAAATTAAATTCATATTTAATCTTTAAGGATACTGCAATAAGATAAATTATTTTTTGTTCTTCCTTATTTTTTAAGTATCTCTTAACCACAGATATGCATTACTTAATGACAGGGATATGTTATAAGAAATGTGTCATTAGGAGATTTCACCATTGTATTAACATCATAGTGTATGCTTACACAAACCTAGATGGTGTAGCCTATAACACACCTAAGCCATATGATATAGTCTGTTGCTCCTGGCTACAAACCTATATAGCATGTCACTGTACTGAATACTACAGGCAATTGTATTACAAAACAATGGTAAGTATCTGTGCATCTAAACATATCTGAACATAGAAAAGGTACAATAAAAATACAGTATTATAATTTTATGGGAGCATCATCATATACGTGGTCCATCATTAACTCAAACATCATCATGTGGTGCATTACTGTATTTGATTGTATTATCATGATAGGAAACCTAATGTCCTAGGCTGACAAAAATGTCCTGACAATTCTCAAAAAAAAAAAAAAAAACACACATGAAATGTACCCATCTTGTTTCCATAATAAAGAGACTTAAAGAAATACATGTGTGTGTGTGATGCTTAATCTTCCTTCATTGTATTCCCAAAGCTTTTAAGAACCTAGGTGCAATAAATGAATTGATAAACGAAATAATAGAAGATGGAGATGAAGGCAATATTCTTCTTCATCCCTAATTCTAAGATACCTCTCAATTTAATACTCTAGACAGATAACTAAGGGACAGGTGATATCCTGATAGAAACATCACATTTTTTCCTCAGTGACAACTGATGTTTTTCTCTAGAAGCTACTGCAAGAGACAAAGCTATGATTTATGAGTGTCCAATTCTCTTCTACTTTCAGCCACATGAGAAGACTGTAATTCACCGCCCAATAGATATAAGGTATGGCTTAATTTGGACAATGAGATGTAATTAGATGTGATGTATGAGATGACCAGTGCTCAACTCTCCAGCCTTCTTTCTCTGTTACCATGATTCAGAAACCCCATGTAGAAATGGAGGTGCCATAAATTAAAAGCATCCTGGAATACTACGCCATCACAGGGAGGTGGGCTGCCTTAGAACATTTCTCAGACTTGCAGTGCACATTACATGAAAAAGACTTAAACGTATTTCTGTAAACTACTACAATATAGGGTTATTTGTTATGGCGGCACAACCTTTATTAACCCAACTTTAAGAGCTCCTTCACCTTTTATAAAAAGGTGTTTTAAAAATCAGTTCCCTTCCCTTATCCCTTTTCTTCTCTTGCTGTTTTTCTAGCCTATATTTTGGTCTCTTGCAACTTTGTCTGATTTCCCTTTCTTTTTTTTCTTTTCAGATTTCCTCCCTATTTTTCTCAATAGGACTGTACAGGAGTAATTAAACTAAGGCAGAATGGATAAAATTGTAAAGAACAAAATAAAACAAATTAAATTAAATTAAATTAAAAAATCAAGTGTAGACAGATGAGGATATAAAAGGAGAAGTCTTCCTTTATTTCAAAACTATCCCTCTCTAGATTATCCTGGATTTCTGTCTTATTTAAGCAGGATATTATCCCATTTTACATATAGTTATATTCCCAGAAAGCATTTTATCCTTATTACACTAAGGACATTGTTGCTGGGGAAAAAAGTGAATTGGAAAGTGTGAGAAACATGGAGTCAGAACTTCTATAGTTGCAGCTCCATATTCTATTAACTTGCTGATTTGGGAGTAACTTTCTAATCATTATAGGTTCAATTTCTTTGTATTTTAAAGGGATAAAGCGATATCATGCTTCAGATGTAACAGTGCTTGGTAAACATAAATACATTAGGGAAACAGGTCAAAATAAGGTTTCGACAGAATAAATCATAAGACCAGGAGTGGGATTTTCAAATAACTTTGATGACTTCTTCCTCTATTTCGTCACAGTGTCAGTCTCCTGGAGAAGCTTCCAGAACCTCTTGGATATCCTAAGTAATATAAACTTGTTACCTGGCACACAAAACCACCTCTGACTCTGGCTGTGATAATCAGCATGTGGACCCAGAAACATGCAAAAACGTAGTATGAATTGTAAAGGCTGAAAGAAAGCCACCCCCTAGGGGGAGCGAAGCTTTGGCCATTGTTTGAGCTCACCCATGCCAATTTTTCAGACACCATTACTAAAACTTGTGTTCTTAGCTGCTTAGCATCTCAAGGATTACGATCACTTAGGTTTTCTTGATTCTGTACACTGATCTTCCACAGATGCCTTGTTCAGCCTTACTGAACTTTCTATGTTTTAGACTTATTGCCCTCTCTGATCTCTAGACATAGCATTTGATAACTTAGTGCTGGGTAATAATCTTACTTATCTGGCCCAACAAATGCTGTCATTCCAGAACAAAAATGTGTTAACTAAAAATCTATTTTTCACTCTTTCTAGTTATCAAATCATTTTGAAAATTGAAAGAACATTGACTTTTAGGGTTTTTTTAAACATATATTTTTATAAGCTATCTCAAATCTTTTTTTTTTTTTTAAACAGCTAACAATTTTATTAGTATTACACAAGTTCACTGATTTGTCATACTCTGGAAATTGCCAGCATCAGCATCAAGGTTGCTTTCCTCAAACAGTGTGTCTCAAATCTTTTGAGGGACAGATGAATGCACAAATAAACTGCCAAAACATATAAATTAGGAGAAATTAATAAACAAGTTATTCGCTTGCATAATTTTATACAAAAGAGGGCAGCATGAAAAATAGAAAGAATATGGGACTGCCAGTCAAGCACCCTGAGACAGGATGCTGAAATTGTAATTCCAGAGATCTACTATATTAAGCAATTCATTTAATATCTCTGAGCTCATTTCCTCCTGGAAAAATATCTAAAAGACAATGAAAGAAAATGTATGTAAAAATACCTAGCATGAGAACTAGTTCCCAAAGGACACTCAATAATATCTGTTAAATCATGAACATGGATGTGATCCACAATGATCATATTAACCCTGATTTGATTAGTAGGTAAAGTGGTCATTGACCTTTTCCTACTTGAAACTAGTATAGTCATAGTGGAGGAGCAGTTATTGAGGTCTTTTCTCAGTGAAGGTTGAGCTTTGCTACAGATGTTAAGTGAATATCAAATTTGCATATAGGAGATGTTTCCCATGAAATTACTCTAGAAAAATTATGGTATATTACTGAATATGCTTATTCTACTTCTATGCAAATTAGTTTTCTATCTATAGGATTAGTTGAACCAAAAGTAATAATTAATAAGAATATTTGATTTTTCTGAAAAGGAAACATTTCAAGAAAGGTCAAAATATAAGTTGAATTCCTTTTCAGTATCCAGAATGCAATAGATGGGGAAAAGACTTATGTGAAAAAATAAAATATTCAAACAATGCAACTGTAGTGATTTTTGAAAAATATTTTTGAATATTAATTTGAGTCTGCTAAAATGTAAAAACTCAGCAACAGGTATGCTGATAAAGTCTGACACAAAGTAAGTACCAAACAATATTTGCTGAATCAATAAACAAAATGTTTTTCAGAGGCTTATTCAAAATAAAAGGGGTAAGGAAAAAATAGGAAATTACATGAGTGAAGAAAAAATTAATCTAGAAAATCATAATAAGAAATCTATAGGATATATCAGTGCATTGGCAACCATAGTAATTCACAAATAAAATATCAGGCAATTTTTGGCAGTTACTCATAATTTTTTAAAGAGTGTTTCTGTAAATCCATGTCCAATACACATTATGATTAGGTGTGGAGACATATGATGATCCCCACCATTGCTCAGACGAGGTGGCCAAATTCTTGATTATTTTAATATACATTTTTAAAGTTTCAGTTTCTCTGAAATTATTTTTAATTCTATGACTTCTAATCAAGAAGTTACCTAAATACGTTAGTTTTAAAAGAACTCACAGAGATATCTCAACTTGCTTTTTAACAACCATTACAGAAATTTCCTTCCTTGTGATTCATGACATTCTTTACAGAATTCACATTTCTCATGCTGCGGATTAATTGTATTTTTCATTACTGTCCACAGTAAAGAGAGAGAGTAGCTGCATATGCCCTTTGCATACTTGCTCAGAGGTCATTACATATTACATATATGCCTTTTAGACTTTGGTTCTTCAGGCCAAATAACACCACTTCTCTTTCTCAGAGACTGGATTTTCCAAGCTTAATCATCCTTGTGGTAGTCCTCTGAACTGTCCAAGTTTTCCACATCCTTCTTTAGATGAAGTTCCAGAACAGCTTATTGGGGCCTACTGGAAGTGTGAAGGGCTCAAGGATATTTTTTTCTAAGCTAATTAAGTCCTGAATAAGCACTCCAGTAGAAAAATAAATACTATTTAAATTTCAAATGAATTCTTATGAAGCAATGTTGAGCTCTTGTCTACCCCCAAATGTTGGTCCCCAAATTATCTACTGAGAGATAACTCATTAACAGAGATAAACTGGAAAATTTTCTAATGAAGGATGAACGTGACACTTTGGAATGACAAATTCATACTGATATCATTATTAAGAAGAAGCCTGTATTATGGAAACCAAATGGAAGTCTAAAAAATAATTATCATTTTCTCTCTAAGACTAGATAGACAACACCTCATTCATGCAAGCTTTCCTGATACTACAGCCCCTTCCTTTGATTCTCATAGTTCCATTCTTCTCTTTGCCATAGTATTTAGCACACTGTTATATTTTTATTTTTTATTTGTATTTTATGAACCCTGACATTGTGAACATATATCACACTGCTTTAGATTTCAGTTTATAAGTACTTGTCTTCCTCCTTCTTTCCACTGCCCTTCACACTGCCGTAATAGTTAAATGATTAAACATGGATGAGAATGTGTTAATTTTCCTCAAACACAATGTGAACTTCACACTTGCATATCTTTACGTTTCCTCTTCTCAGATCCTTCCTCCAAGTACAGCTCAAATATCACTTCTCTATGTCCTTCCTTGATAACCCACATTCCATCTCAAAGATAGAAGTAGTTTCTTTTTCATTTGTGTTCCTATAACAATTTATACATATTTATATTATATCTTTTTTTTTAATTTAATTTCTTTTGCATCTCTCTTTTCTATGCTGTGCAATCTTCTAGGACCACTCCATATCTTATAATTCTGTTTAAATATATTATCTGGAGAATAAGTTTTTATGACATTGAATTTGAAATATTTTATCCCTACCACTAAACTTTAAGCCTCTTGAGAACAGAATGTTAAACACATTTTCCCATGGCATCCTATAAGTACCTATTGAATGGATGGATGAACAAAACAATAACATAACAAAACATTCATACGTGATACTAAATAAGCGCACACAACTGCAGATGTCTTCAGGCTTACCGGGCCATGGCATGTGAGGACGCCATCTTCCATCTTCTCACACTGGGGATCACACTCCACACAGATGGAGCCGTTCTCAAATTCCCGAAATTCACTGTGAAAACATCAGCTGCATGAGAAGGTGTAAGCAAACAAGCTGTCAACTTAACAAATGAAGTAACATCTGCTAAAAGTCCTATTGGCAGAGTAAATTCTAGAGTTTGTTTCTCTATGTGCCAGGAGCATCAGAAACATTAAGTTTTCCATTAGGAGAAAAGATAAACTGCAGCCAGATGGCTCTCCTTGCCCTCCATTGGGTTCAACGATAGACTTGTTCTGGAAACCTCTCTCCTGTGAGAGATATTCCAGCAGTCTCACACACAAAAACAAAACAAAACAAAAAGGTGTAACTCTTTTGATGACACAGCAGAACCATTTTTACCTTTTTACTGAGGCT